GTGGGTGCTGGGAATCAAACCTTGGTCCTCTGGAAAAGCAGCCAATGCTCTTAATTCCTGAGTCAGCTCTCAGTCTCCTTGGTAGGTTTTTTTTTTTGTATCTAGGAATGTATAATCTCTTTTTTATGTTTAAAAAAATGTGTGTACATGGATATGCTTTGAATACATCTGATAAGTAAGGATAACAAACTTAAACCAGGCTACATAGTTATCTAAAACTTAGATAGTATTGTGACTGTTGAGTCTCCTGTATGCCTCTTCTTGGGCCATTTCCTCTCCCCAGCAAGGCACTATGATTTGAACATGAATCCTCATTGCCTTAAAAGGGAACCATGGCAACCACACTCCTGTTACACTCTCTGTGACTGCCACCTACACTGCACATGTGAGCTTGAGAAGCTATACAGAGCACTCCATTGTATGTTTCTACATTTTTACGTAAATGGTCTCACATGCTACTTTTACAAATCAGAAAGGCATTTTCTGTTCTTTTGGAAAATGGATGGAACCGGGGCCATGGAATCATGAGCATCAACTGGGTTCTTTTGATTAAAAACAACAGAAAGTAATCCTGCTGGTTCAAACCACAGAGGGATTCAGAGAGGCTCACATAAATTTTTCATGATCAGGAAAGGCAGCTGCTCCGTGAACAAGAGCAGCAGGTAGCTGAGATTCAACCCTCTTGTCTTCATCCTTGGCATGGAAAACCACAATGGCCCTGGCTTCTACTTACCTGGATCCCAGTCTTTAAATTCCTAGGATAGTGAGAAAAATCCAATTAAGCCAAGATGGTCCCCCATATGGTCAGGAATGTAGGATGATTTAGTAGAGCCATGATAATCAGGCCCTTTCCCAGTGAACTGGGGATATAGCAGAGGAGGTCCGTGAGCTGGGCACCCGAGCAGGTGATGACTCTATGGGGACAGGGAACTGGAGATGAGGAGGAAAACACCTTTCTCTTCTTTTCTTTTCCTTTTTTTTAAAGATCAAAGGGAAAGTGTTACTATTTGAGAGTTCCTATCTGGCATTTCAATTGATTTGGGCTTCTGAATTTTGAGAACAATTCAGTCGAGACACAAAGAAAATAATTCCTTGTTTAGTAATATGACTCCTTCTGTTTATGAAAAAAACTCAATAGCCAATATAAAGGATGCTCATGAAGACAGCCATTGACTCTGAGTCGCTGATAGGTGGAGATAAAAGTCAAGGACCTCATTGCTGGAAAGCGGAAAGGATGTAGAAGAGACCTCCATAGCAACGAGTGACTAACCTAAGATCAGAACCAGGCTGTATCCCTGCCCACTGAAGACTTGAGGAGAGGAATTACCGGTTGTGGTCACAAAGCTAGGCTGACTCTTTTCCTAAGCAAGCCAGATACATGTAGGTTAAAGAAAGTGAAGCTGGTATCTTCTCCCTGTGGGAAGGGAGAATGCCCTTGGGCCAGGGGTATCTGTTCCATGGTAGGGTTTTCCTATCAAAGCTTATATGAGCCCTTGGGTATGATCTCTTGCTTAGATAGGGGTTGGGTTGTAGCTGTGGTAGGGTGGAGTAGGAAACTGACTTCACATTTAGTGCCTAAATACATCCATCCACGTGTGAGATTTTAGATCTGCTTTCCCCCCCCTCCTCTGGCTTCAGGGAAGCTCAGATGTGTTTGGCCTACAGTAGTTATATATTCCTACTGAGTCACTGTCCACTTCTGAGCACACAGGGAATGCTAAAAACATGCTGCTGACGCACTGGCCCTGAGAGGAGAGAAATGCCAAAAGTCCAGGCCAAGGGGAGGCAGAAAAGCAAGTGGGAAATGTCCCAGGACCGTTCTCCATGGAAGCTCACATTCCTTTTCTAGCCTTCCTGGACACTCTGGTGGGGGGACATCAAATATTCTTTTCAAGCAACACCTAAAATACCACCTTCCACTAAGCCTTCTTTCCCCCAACAAATATAGACTCGAGGGGATCCCAAAGGAACCCACGTCTTCCTCCAGACCGTCACAGTGAGGTCACATGATAAGAAATGTAAAGCGGATTCATACATGGACCTTGCAAATGCTGGCACACCGTTCTCAGTGTCCTTACATTCCTGGCTTTATTTCTCCATCCACAAGTACCCATGCGGCCTTAAACAAGCCAGTCAGGCTCTGATGTTCAGTTTCTGTGTCTGTCGAGCACAAACACCTACCTCTTAGTGCTGGTGGTCTTATTTAAATAGTTGGTACGGTGCCTGGTTTGCTGTACCTACTATTATAAAGGAAGTCTGATTACTATTGTAATATTGTAGTGATCATTATCGTCACTCAGACATCGTTACTAAGATAATAGTGATTAACTGAACTACTCCATTGCTATAAGAAAGATTCTTGTTCTTCGTAGTTTGAGTGACCAAGTTTAACCTTTTAGCCTGACATCAAATACAATAACATAAATTAGAGAATTAATGCTAATGACCAATAAGCATTTTTACTGACCCCTATATGCTCTGTAAATAACAGTGTCTAGGGAGCCATTAGCTCAAAGTGTAGAAAGAAATGTAGGGGCTCAGCAAGATGGCTGGCTCAGCAGGTGAAGATGCTTGCTGCCAAGCCCCGATACCTAAGTTCAATCCCAGAACACACAAGGTAGAAGAAGTGACTAGATTCTGGGAAGTTGTCCTCTGATCTCCAAACGTGTACTGTGGCACGTGCACCTACAGCACATGCATAAGACAATACATAAATGCATAGGAAATTTTGAAAGAGAGAGCCAGCTCTCTAGCAGTTTGATTTGAGAGGTAGCTACAAGATACCTACACTATCTAGGGGCTCTCCATAGAAGTCTTTGGAGGCTAGCAGAAGTCAATGAGAAAAATTAACTTAGGTGTCGATTTCCTACACCTGTCTGCACTTGGCACAATGTGAAAAGCATTTACTGTTAATTAACTGAGTTCTGAAAATTATGGACTTTGGAAAGGAATTCAGTGATTCCTAAAGAGTAACTCCTAAAGGCACAGACTGATTTCTTAGTGTCCCGGATAGAAATGTCAGAGACACAGAGTAAGAACATTTTAAAATTTCAGAAATAGTCTCGTCAAAGTTCTTCATGTTCTAATCTAACGGAATCTGATCTTTTTTAACTGGTTTCCAAGGGCTTCCAATGAACCCCCTGCTTCCTGACCCTCTTGTCTCCAGCTGGGGTTATAAGCCTGCAGAGACACACCTAGATCCTGTTTTGAACCTGTCAGCTTTACATGCTGTCTTTCCTATAATTGGACAAGTTCCTAATTGGAATATGGATAAGATTAATATTTTAATGATTCAAAACGAAAACAGAATGATGTAATTGGTAGGATCCCAGAGACATAAAGTATCTTGCGGAACATGTTCATCTTTGATCTGTTCATTGGTGTTTTGGAAAAGGACCCCATGGCTAAATAAGAGTTGGCAATGGCAGACTGAAGTTAAAGCAGGCTCTTTACCGCAGAGCCTCTGATGTCTTCAATGCACAAACATGCTCTGTAGTCTTATAAGGATGGAATGGGGGTGAAGGCTTTCAGCAGTTTCTTTACCCCAGGATCTTACTGGGGAAACACAGGTCTTGCTGAGTTTGGTGTATGCTTGGTGTAAAGGTGGTGGTTGGTTCTGTCTTGACAGGAAGGAGATACTGAGGGAGAAAGGCAGTACAGGTGCTCCTGTTTCACACTAAGACTTTCGGGTGGTGCTAATCTCCTGGGACTCGAGAAGGCTGAGAGGCATCTCTAGGCTAGAGAGCATCCCATTTTTCCTGACTCACCTTGTAGAGAAGCTCTGAGCTCAGCATAGGAGCAACCAACCCCCAAGACTAGGACTAGGTTTCTATCTCTGCCCACCTAGGACGGGTTGGAGGATGTGTCCGCAGCTGTGGTTATAAGCTGGCCTGCCTTCCTGTCCCTCCTTTCCCATTGCTTTGAACCTTGCAAAGCCCTTTAGCCTCATGCTGCAGAAGTTTGCTCTGCTCTGACCTCTGTCTCTCCAGGTACTGTAGATGGTCTGGGATCTCGGCTGTGTGCCAAGCTCAGTCCTTTTCCCCTTTAAATTCCCTCCCCTTTTGCTCCTCTCTATGTGAAGGTTTTCCTGCTTTTGGATTTGAGGAGGATCAGAAAGAAAGGCTTCAGGCAAAAGAGCCAACCACAGTAGGTGGCACCTCACCTTTGTTTCAGTTGGCTTCGTTCTTTCATTCCTGGTGGACTTTAAATGTGTTTTAGTCGCCTACTGGAGGTGTTTTATTCAGAGTTCAGGAGTATGGACAGATGCAGTGTGAAGGGAGCCGATTTCTAAACAGATATGTAGGAAGGACACAGCAGGATGAGAATAAGAAAAGACATGTTTGTTGCAATTACAATGAAAAGAAAAAAAAAAGCTTCCATTTGGAGAGATGCTACGATTGTGGATGCTGGGGTAGGTCCTGGGGACTGAAGGGGCTGACAGGGTGTGATTCCCCACAACAAATGTTCCTGCTGAGTGTACACACACACACAGTGCCCAGCCTACAGTTTCACCTCTGGCAGAGCCTAACAATTCTCAGCTCTCCTTTCCAGGGTTATTTTTGGCTAGGGCTGTTCTCTGATGGCAAAAGGTTTTAGCCCCCTCCCACCTCCCTCTCTGTCCTTACTAGGGAGAGAAACTTGTGCTTGAGCTAAGCTGACTCTCAGGGTGTGGGGAGAGAGGGCTGTGGGCTGGGCCTCTGGCTAGCTCAGACTCCAGTCCTAGGCTATCTTCTAGTGGAGAGTGGGCCTCGCAGTGCACTGGACCCAACTGTGTGGTGTTGTTGGGGACACAGGATCTGGTCTTAGAGCCTGTCTTTGGGACACTCCGAGAGTCAGGCGAGCCGGGGGGGGGGGGGAAGGAATCAGACAGCTGGGTGATCCTCTGATCAGAGCTGGACTGCAGAAAACTATCTGAAGGTGGAGGCACACTCCACTCCGGGACGTTGAGGGGACAATCTGAGTGTAGCGGCAGGAGGGTGGGAAGGGGCGGGGAGGGCGCAAGGCGGAGCCGGGAGCGAGGCCAGACCGCGGGGGCCCGGGAGGGCTGCAGATCCCCGAGGCTCCCGCAGCCGCGGCAGGACCGGCCAGCGGCGCCATGGAGGGGAGCCCCATCCCGGTGCTGACGGTGCCCACGGCGCCCTATGAGGACCAGCGACCGACCGGTGGCGGCGGGCTGCGGCGCCCCACAGGGCTTTTCGAGGGTCAGCGCAACTACCTGCCCAACTTCATCCAGAGTGTCCTGTCGTCCATCGATCTGCGCGACCGTCAGGGTTGCACCATGGTGGTGGGCAGCGACGGCAGGTACTTCAGCAGGACGGCCACTGAGATCGTGGTGCAGATGGCTGCGGCCAACGGGGTGAGTGACTCTCACGCCCGGTTTGCGGGTCTCCACACCCCGCCACCTCTCTTGTGCTCTTTCCAGCTTCCCATACCGGCGGCGCACTAGTAGCCACTAGTCACACTGGGACACTGGTCTTAAAGAGGGGCTGCTCGTCTCAAAGCCCCTGGCCTGGAACCTTAAGTTTCTCCGGCACCTGTTGTGCTTTCTGCTATATTCCCTTCCTTTCCATTTTCCACTCCATTGCAGCCTTGGGCTTCCTATATTCCTCCAGCCGGTTTATTGCCCACCTCCCTACACAGACTTTTTTCAAGTCTGCCAACATGATCTCCCACCCTGGTATTCTTTTATTCTATTATTATTATTACTATTATTATTACATTCTAACCACCACCACCACCACCACAATCCTCTCTCTTTCCAAATTGTAACTGTCAAATTTAACAATTATCTGCGCGCACACCGTCCAGTATTGAACCATGTGCTATTTGGCAAGAGTGGGCCTGGCAAGAGTGGGCCCCAATGCATCGCTCTAGCCCACTGGTCCTTCAGTGGTGACTTTGATTGGGATGGGAACGGGTTGGATGATTTTGGGGGCTTTGCAGCCTGGGCTCTCAGTTTCTCTTTCTCCAAAGGGTATAAGTGAGACTCGCAGTAGCATTCTTAACGCAATTCCTAACGCCCCTCCAAGATGCCTTTGGCATTTGACAAGCCAGTCCTCTTCCGTCTGCATCCTCATTTCTTCTCCCTCCTCCTAAGACCTCTACAGTTTTCTTCTGCAACCTGGATTCTCAGACTTCGAGTTTCTTTCTGTCTGCTCCCTCTTCCGTACCCTACAGACAGAAGCACCCTCGTAAATGCTAAATCCAATCTGCTCTCCCCACCTTGTCCCTGTTTAGCCCCAAATCCAGTTACTAAAACTTGTGATTAGCAAACTTTGGGGTGGGGGAGGTCTCTGAATTATCTGTAGGAAATAGGAAATATGGTTTCAAAAAGTCATTTGAGCCTGGTTAACACGATCAGATTCACACCCAGGAAACTTTCCCTCGAGTGAAATCTCTTGTAGATGGACATCTTTAAAAGCAGATAATTACCTGTCCTGAGGATTCTGGCCACCCCCCCCACCCTACCTCCCACCCCCGTTTTCATTTCTCCGTAGTGTTTCTTCATTACTGCTGTCCATGCTTCATGTTTCCTACTGTGATTTTTCTCTTTTCAGCGTTTTAAGAATGGAAGGGTGTGTGTGTGTGTGGGGGGGGGTGTTTTGTGAGGGTTTTGTTGTTGTTACTTTGCTTTTTAATACCCTAAAACCAATCAGGGGGAATGGTCCCAGAATGGATTCCACACTGGTATTTTTCTTTGGCTCTTCACCTGGGGTTGATGAATGTTGGCTGGAGTCTGGGGTTGGTGAGTGGTTGACAAATGCTCTTTCCCTCTTGTCTGACAAAGCTATCCCTGGGCATGATGGATGGGGGATAATGAGCCCTGGGAGCGCTGTAACGCCTCGCTCACCCTCCTCCACACTCTAGTTTGTCAGGGGGTGAGAAGAGTGTAGCCTGCCCAGTATTTATTGTGGGTCAGCATAGTTATTGAAGATGGCTATTGATTTGCATCTCAAGCCGTGGCTTGGACCATTCTCCTCTTCATCTTTTTTCTCACCTTTCCAGGAGATATGTTCTGAAGTGAATAGTCAGATGGTTGGCTCTAGGAAAAATGTACTTTGGCAGGACTAGAAAATAATGAGCAACATTGGTCCTCGTGCGATTGAAAACGGATGCGGACTCACTTGCCTTCAAACCTGTAGGCTTCATGAGGCTGAGGGGTGATGGACCTGGGTTTCTAAAGCCTTTAAAGATAGATTCCTAACTGAACATTCATAACCAGGATACAAAAGGAACAAACTAAAATGTATTCTGTCTGAACTGAAAAGTCTGATTATCAAGTGGCCTGCCACTCCTCTGTCTGAAAAAGTGGTTTTGATTGAAAAGCGAATGTGGTGGTTTGAATAAGATTGGCCCACATAGGCTCTTATACTTGAATGCTTATTGATCAGGGAGTAGAACTTTTTAAAAAGATTAGGAGATGTGGCCTTGTTGGAGGAAGTGTGGCACTGGGGGTGGAGATTTGAGGTTTCAAAAGCCCATGCCAGGCCCAGTCTCTCTCATCTGCTGCCTCTGGATCAGGATGTAGAATTCTTAACTGCTTCTCCAGCACCGTGTCTGCCCATGTGCCTCCATGCTTCCTGCCATGAGGATAACAGACTAAGCCTCTGAAACTGTGACCAAGCCCCCAATTCAATCCTTTCTTTTTGTAAAAATTGCTGTGGTCATGACGTCTCTTCACCGCAATAGAACATTGACTAAGGTAATTAATTTTACAAGGAAGTTTTCTAAGAAAAGCTGTACTTGGTATTTGTTCATATAATTGCTGGAGGGGACCAGAATTATGAAACTTTTGAATGATGAGCATATTACATATATTTTACTAGTTCACAAGCTTCAAGCTGACATATCTTACACTAGTGTATATAATTTGGGATTTGCATGTTTCTAGGATAGAATTATGAGTATGGAGCCAGAGAGATGGCTCAGCAGGTAAAGTTCTTGCTTCTAGGCCTGATAATCTGAGTTTGATTCCTAGAACCCATGTGGCAGGAGAGAACTGACGTTTGCAAGTTGTTCTCTGACCGCCATATGTGCATTGTGATATATGTATGCGCCCACATTCATACACAATAAATAAGTGTAAAAGATTAAAAATTATGGTTGGAATAGTGCATGTCTGCACTCCACAGTACACACCACATACATAAATATGTACAGAAAGATAAATAAAATAAAAAATTTAAAATTTATGGAAATTTGTAGCTTTCATAAAAGTCAAGATAGGATTTATTGACAGCCATAGTCTTGACTCTAAATATTTTATAATGTTTGTGCCATTGTTTTTGGATTTAATGTTTTAAATTTTCTTAAGAAAAATACAATTTGTTCCTAAATCCTTCAGTATGGATTTCTTAATAAATAAGGATCTTTCCCCACATAGTTATAACTCTATGGTTGGGTTCACTCAGTTGTTTTGAAATTCTTTTATGGTGATTTACTCAAACCAAGTTCTCCTAATCAAGGCATAAACATTACATACGGTAACGTAGGTCAATTTTTAACCTATAAAACACTCTCCTGATTGCCTGTCTGTGAATCTGTCTATGAAGCTGATTTGTCCAAAAATCAGTCCAGTTGCCTTGCAGAATGTTTCTCCTGGGCTTTTCAAATTTCCTCTAATTTTTCCATTTAGCTTTTCATCCTACCTGTTGTTTTTCTCGTTGGAAATTAGTTCTGAAGACTTGCCTTAGTCCACTTGAGTCACTGTAACAAAATACCATGAGCTGGAGAGTGTATAAACATCGGGAACTCATTTCAAAGCAGCTCTAGAGACTGTAAGCCCAAGGTCCATGCTCTGGTTACTTTGGTGTCTGGTGAGGGCCCATTTTCTGGCTCACAGAACGATGCTTTCTTACTGAGGCTTCACTAAGTGGGAGGGCCTAGCTAAGTCTTGAGGAGTGTAAATTCCAATCACAAGGACTCCATCCTTACCACCTAACCACTCCCTGAATGCCTTACCTCCAACCGTCACCTTAGACTTTCAGTGTATCAATGAGGGAAAGGAACATTCAGTCCAACAGATTCTGTTTTAACTTACTTTTTAATGAGAGTCTATCAATTGATGGTGTGGTGCAAGCCTCTGATGCCATCACTTGGGAGGCTGATGTCAACTTGAGCTACATCACAAGACTGTCTCAAGGAACCAAAACCAAGAAAAAACATAGTTATTCAGTATATTCATTTTTCAGACGTTCGAGTTTTCTTCTGTTCCATCCTCCCTGACCTACAGGTGGAATCACCTTTTGAAATATCCACTGGGTCTCCCCACTATCACCCCTCACCTCAATACAGCAGCACATCAGTCAGCACTCCGAGAGCCTCTGAATTATCTGCATCTTGGGAAGTACAAGCTGCATGGTCTCAGCATTCCATTCAGGACAATAGAAGGGCTTTGGGGTCCTGCTGGTCACGGTTCCTATGCTGCACCATGCCTTCCTTGGTTTTAGTCAGTTGTGGGCTCAACTTCATACTGTGTACGTATTTGGTTTACTTTTTTTTCCCCCGAAAATTTTAATAGGTTTATTTATAATTGTTACAAAGTTGAACTGTTGAGATGTGTTAACTAAAATATTTTGCTTGCATTAATGCTTTATATCTTGCATTTATATTAAAAATTTGCACATGAATGAAAATGAAGAAGCTGCCAATACCTGAGTCTGTCCTATATGTTTCCACTCGAAATCATATACTTAGGTACCTTTTGACCCCATGGGAAAAATATCAAGCATTCAGAACTACTGATAACAGGAAGAAGAGGTAAATTTTTTTTTTTTTTTTTTTTTTTTAGAATGAACTGTTTCTCCTCATAGTGGACTCTTAAGTACCTTCGCCACCAATGTGGCATGTTAGCTGGATATCTTTTGGCTGTTACATGCTTTGCACGTATAGCACACAGGTTGGTATCTTCAAAATGACAAACCAGCTATTAGCAAAACACCAATAGCTGCACTCTGGATATGCTGATCTGTTTTGAAGTCTTGAGCAATTTCTTGCACCAGATGCTGGAAGGGGAGCTTGAGAATCAGAAGTTCAGTGGACTTCTGATAGCGCCTGATTTCAGAGTGCCACAGTACCAGGCCTGTTAACACTGTAAAGATGAGGTTTCTTCACCCCTCCAGAAGAGGGCGCACTCTTGTGAGTGGTTTTTGTAGCCAATTGTTTCCTGGGTGATTTACCACTGGTGGATTTGGGGGCAGCCTGTTTTATATGCACCACAGTATGGGCACCTCCCTACCCCACTTCTCCTTAGGCTGCCACTCTGCAAGGGAGAGAGATTGCTGGTGTTAGACAGTAGTGGTGGCTCGGGCTGTGAACACACTTTGCATGTTTGGTTTCTTATCAATATTTATTAAG